GTGCTTTGGGGTGCCGCAAAACTTGACCCGTTTGCGCTCCAGCTTGGCCCGGGGAGTAAAAACAACAACGAGATTTGTTTGCTGCCGAAAGTCTGCAGGTTTTCGCGTGGCAGTTTGGCTTGGGGAGATCCACAACGACCTTTATGGGCTGTTGTATGGTTTTGCGCGCAACCCATTAGATGATATGATATTGCAAGGAGCAGAGAGCAAGGGTTGAGCGTTAGGTATCAGTTCCTCCTTCCTGTTCGCCAAGAACCAACGTGCCAGCCAAAGCTGCCATGACCCATGGGATTTGTGCAGCCCTCGCTTTCCATCCTTCTAGAACTAGAGTACCTAGAGCTCCGAGAAAGATTTCCGCCAGACCGCGAACTCCCCACCTCCGCACCGAAGGCAACATGTACACAGAAGCTGCACTGCTCGGAGACTTCGTGGTGGATGATATCAAGGCTCGGCGGGCTCATTTACGCTGAGAGTCGTCTCAATACCGCAGTATGTGAGATCTAAGACCTTGCATTGACAGACCCCATGTGGATTCAGTTAGGCGAGGGTTTCCGTGAACAAAGCGATGTCACCTTGACAATGTAGATGTTGATCAGACTGAGGTGCTGGTCGGCAGCTTCCCAGGGCTCTTCGGCACCGAGCTGGGTGACAAGCTGAGGCGCTTGCTACGCTGGGTCGGAAGCCTTCCCGTTGGGGTTGTCGGGCTGCCGTTGAGTTCAAAGGCGGTTGCACTGCAAGTTGCGCGAAGCCTTGCACGAAATCCCGATCCCTCACGACTTTGGGCCCTCATGAACACTCAGCTCCTTGAGGGCTCTTCCATTAGATCACAAGCTGCTAGACTGTCAAATTACGCACCTCGCATGTTTGCCCGAATTTCGAAAGATCCGCCCATGTTGTCAAGGAGCTTCTGCTTGCGCCATGGTGTGCCCCTCGCCTGGGGCCTGGGTAACAGCCGACCCTGGCCAGTGGAAGAAAAGCAGCCGCGTGCCCAGAGGATGCGGATGATCAGAACTGTAACAACTAATAACTAATGTAACTAATAAGTAATAAGTATACTGGTGACAATGGTAGGACGACACCGAAAGCCCTGGTGAAGTTTGTCGAGCGACCTGCCATGTGACGGGGCATCCGAGAAGCTTGTTACATACGATCCCTCCACTGAGTAAGCATCTTGAAGTAAGCATCTTGAACATCCCTTGTCTATGTACAGTATACTTTACATGAACCCCCGCACACATACATTTCATGAAGTCGAAGCAGGCTTTTTTGAGCTTGGTCGAACACACATGCACTCCTGCCTTGAAGGAACAAAGAACCTTACATATGTTGTTTACTTCACTATTCATACTTCTGGGCATTCAGACACGGTCGTATGAGTATACAGTTTATATCGGTCCGTCTCCTTCGAGAAAATTTGGAAAGATGATCGTCTTATTCTATACAACCAAAAAGCAGCCAGTCCTGGCGACACGGCAGTCCACCGAAGCCTCAGAGCCAAGCACTGGAGGCTATTGGACTGGCTACCCCTGGAGCCTTTCGAATACTGGCATGGAGCTGGTGTTCGGCTTCTGGACTCACTCCAACAAAAGCTTTAGGCTATCGGATATTGGCCTTTCGGAGGTATAGGACTGGTTCAAAGTTGCAGGTTTCTAGGCTTCATGGGCGATCATCCCGCCTTCGGGCGGCAGGACTTAGTCATAGTCAGGGAATGTGATCCGAGCAAACCTCTGGACTGAGACTTGACACAGTTTCTCGGGCCAGCGCAAATCTACGATTCTGCCTTTTGTGCTTCTCCACTCGTTATTTACGTTGTTGCTGCAGTTTGGGGCAGATGTTCTAGTGGGGTCTGGAGTTTGCACCTTCAGATGAAAGCTGGCCTCACGGCGGCTTCCTTGTGTCACTGGTGTCATGCTTCGCATCCTTCCGCTGGTGGTGAGGGGGGGGGAGCGGAGGGGGGAGCCAAGACTGCAGCACAACGACCTCAGGTCCAGTCTCCTCGAGGACCACTCTGACCTCATTCAAATTGCAATGTGGCAACAGCACCCCAAATGCAAAGGCAACCACCACTGCCGCCGCCACCCGGCACCACCTCTACCAGCAACGTTGATGATGCTGGTCATAGTGATGGCAAAGATGATGACGATGAAAAACAAATCCAGGATGAAGTCGCCCAAACCCCACCTGTGTTCGACATGTTGCGACCAGCCAACACGCCTCCCGTACCACGTGCCGGAACGCACCGCGAACCATGTGGTGTCCCACTTGGCTTGTGGGCTGGGTTGTATTCTGGCTGGAAAGAAGAATATGCCCGTGGAAGCACGTAACTGCGTTCATGCAGCATGGCATAGCTACAGAACTCTGCTTCAAAACAATGTCCAGACAAGGTAGTGACGAAGTTGTTTTGAAGAGCTCCTTTGTCAAGTCATGCGATCTGCTGCGTGCATTTTCGTCTTCCTTGATATTTACCGTGTGTGCGTGTGCCATTACGGCTTCCAGGGGCCTTGCTGCAGGACCCAATTGCCGGGTGGGCCCTGACCAATTCCACTCAGGGTGGCGGCGTACTTCGGCAGCATTGTGCAGAAAGTTGTGTGTGGGGTTTTCTTCTCGTCTCTTGCTGGAAGTATCCCGACGAAGCAGATGCTGTGCTCTGCTTCAGTTGAGACTGCAGACTTCCCACGTTCGTGGACCCTGATGAATAATACCGTGGCTAATGCCCTCATCGACGGTGTGAAGACAGGTTGTTTACTCCAGGCTGCAGGGTCGAGTATGTCTGCTGAAGTTGTTTGGCATTCCCATTCCCAGTTCACGTGTTGAGACGCTGCACAGCAACTGGAACAGGCGGGGACCGTGGCGGTTTGGAAGCAGGTCTGGACACAAATCGCTCACGAGAGGCAGGTGAACCTTGGCTTTATTAATGGCGTGGAAAGACATCTGCTTCAACTCTCCTTGCTGCTGAGGGCTTCACCAAATCTACAGGCTCAGTTGAGGAGTTCCTGGCTGGGGTTGTGAAATGAGAAGTTCATATACTTTAGGGATTATTGAACCTGCACTGACCATTCAAGTCCGGTCTGTCAGAAGCTTCTTGGACCTCGCACAGGGTCTATCTGCAAGGTACAGCTCACCGACACCATAGCCAGTCGTTCCCAAGGCGCAATGGCCGGCTGACGCGTGCCGAGTTCCAGACTTGGTGGCAACACATTGCCGTCCAGGACTATCCACTGCTGCTTTGTGGCATTGAGCTGCCTGCGGACTCTAACTAGTAATGGTACGCAGACTGGTGCTCACAGCAGGCACCGTCCCCCTATGGTAATCTTTTGGCAACAACACATCAAGTTTCAGTTTGGTACCTTCTTGGTTCGCCTTCGACACTGTCGAGTCTTGACACAGCCTAGCCACAAGTCTGAAAGCCTGTCGCCAAGCGCTTGATTGCAGTTCTGTGTTGATCTACGGGTTCGCAGGCTTACGGTTTGCATGGGTCCTGTTCCGATGTAGATTTACGCAGTACTCTCAGGAAAGGTTTGCGTGGCGCTGGCTGTCCGGATGATGTTTGCTTCGGCACCATCGAAGCAGGAGGTGCTGCCGGGATGCTGAAGATTTCTGCTATCAGGGCGCGCGCTCTGACATCACTCATTGTTGAAGCGCAGTCCATGCAGGAGGCACCATGTGACCTAGAATTGCATCCACACTCAACACGCAAGCAGTGAACGGTTGTGACCTGCAGCGGCGGTGTGGGCACATGAATACACAGCATTCGAGCAAACAAACTGCATGTGCTGCGGTTTACTTCTCCCTTGCTGAAAAAAACTGGTTCTCCCAGGCAAACGCGACTGCGTTTGCCGTGCCACGGTTGATGGCAGCTCGAAGACCATCCTGGTTTGAGCAAGGATTAGAGCCATCGTGATGCCCAAGGTTGTGCGGCCAAGCACCAACTCATATTCAAGACCAGCATAGCAGTGGTACGAACCCAACACAGTTACACTCCGAACTCTATAGTCTCTCGTCATTGATTATGTGCGGCACTCGATGGGGCTTCTGATTGGGTTTAGCAGCAAGAGTTCGCCCATAGCAACCCCGAGCACCCCATTTAGTAGCAGCAGAAGGCTCATGAGGCCGGAGTGCAGGAGGCAGACGTTCTTCGGAAGACTTGCTGCGCGAGCAGCTTGTCTCCCGGTGAAGACCCGCAGGGGCCGGAGGGCAGAGGGCCAATGGTTTGCTGATCTTCCTGGGTTCAGCTCGTATGGTACAACCCCTGGGTCGTGTTCTCTCTGGTGTGATTGAAATCTGCGTGATCCTTCCATCCCCGGGGTTGAGGCATTCCGTGCGAAGCACGCATCTTCCGCCTCCGTTTGCGCACCTGCCTGGATTCGCAGGGGGACAGGTGGGGGAATGCCTCCTCCCAACTCTATAAAGTTCTCGTAGCCTTTTTCACGTCTGACACAGCGCAGCGCTTCAGCTTTGACAGATTCTGTTCTGGCCACAACTAGAGCCGACACACGTCCATTTCTCCAAAGCAAGGCATTCTCCCATCGACCCACCTTACCCCCACTTTCCTTTCAGCTGCGATGTTTTTTCGCCGCTGCGATTGGTACGGCGAAAAGTGTACTGCAAGCTTTGAGTGGTTGAGTGGTGCAGGATCCGAAGCAGTACTTCTACTGTCCTCGTGTGGAGGCTAGACCGAGACGCCAAAACATCATGCAGAGACCCAGACTGCAAAAAATTCTACAAGTGCCATGGGCCCTGGATTCTCAAAACCTTCAGACGTGCTGAGCTGATTCTGTAAACCTTATTGCAAAGGGCCCACAAACAAGAAACACAGACACACACTCCACCGTTAGCCGAAATCTGAGAATCCCAGCACTCTCCCCACAGAGCTTACTTCTTGTAAGATAGGGGACTTAATAATATTAAGATAGGCCCTTGGGTATATTGTCCTATAGTTATACTAATAAGGAGCCCCCAAAATAGTATACTTAGTTGTTCAGTCCCCTACAGCAGCAAAGGTGGGGCCTCCTCCGTCCAGGGTCTACTGCAGCACTTCATGCTGGGGACCTCAGGTCTTGCATGTGTCTCCTTGACTCCAGGCTCTTGCAGGGGCTCTTATAAGGGTTCCTATAAGGATACTATAAGGGTTCCTTTTATGGGTTTGTAGAGAAAACGGAGTCAGGTGGGCTTGGAGATATGGGGTAGTGCTTTTGAGGAAATTGGAGAGGCATCGAGCTTCTTTGACAGGTACAGTAGGGTTTTAGGCCCAGCGGAAGGATGAGCCGTTTGTCGCTCTCTTCACTAGTCTGTCTGCACTTCGCGACGCAGGCAAGGATGCCTGAAAGGAATGCTGCAGTTGAACTCCCAACATTTCGGAACAGTGGGCGTGATTTGGGGTTTTTCGGACACCTGCGGCTTCACGCAAGACAGGCCCTGAGTCCTAAGCATATGAGACATCATCAAGCGTGACCATCAAGCCGACGAGATCGAACCCCCGACCTAGCCCATCAATCTCCGCAAAAAGGCACAATGGACTTTCTCGATTGCTTCCAAGAGGCGCTCCGAAACATGAGCAGCTCGGCTTTAGTGAGTATTGGCTTTGCTATGTGGCTTTTGTATGGTTTTGTGGGGACCCGCACCGGATCCTGCTGAGTCATGAGAACCCGCGGCTTCTGATCAGAAGACAATGGAATCCCGATTTACACCAATCGAAAGCCGAGGCACCTGCAAAACCGAGCGGCGCAGCGACACCCACAGCTTGTACAGGTGGGTATAGTCGGTATACTGTTTAGGCGGTGTTGGGCCTTTGATTGGAGATGAACTGGACCATACGGAACTTGGGCGGATGAGGCGGAGAGCTTGTAGTTGCCAGAGCTCGTTTGGAGGTGACATCAGAGTAGCAGGCCACGGCCGAATCACCTTTTGCTTGCCCAAGCCTAAGCGGATCTCAAGTAGCAATCTTTGCGCAAAGTGCCAGCTCGTGACCAAAAGGTGCACCTTGCGCGGGGCGGCAAGTCTTTGGTAGTGTTGCATCTTGTTCTGTGGAGGCAAATTCATGCCACAGGCGTCGACTGGGGCTTGCCATCTCTCATGATTAGTTGCGGATGACTTCGGCAACGGGCCTGAGTCCTGAGTTTAGCCTTATGGGAGTCCTGTACACAATCAGAGCGACGACGACGACAACCACATCTCCCGCTCCCACTGCCAGTGCCACTCCCACTCACTGCGACGACGACTACTACTCCCACCGCTACAGCTACAAGTACAAGTACCAGTACTACTATTACTACTATTACTACTATTACTATTATTACTACTATTACTACTACTACTACTACTACTACTACTACTACTACTACTGTCAACGGCGTGCCAAGCGAGTGACAAAAACTACTACTACTACTACTACTACTACTACTACTACTATTACTACGACTACGACTACGACTACGACTACGACTACTACTACTACTACTAGTACTACGAATACTAGCACTAGTACGACGAAGACGACGACGACTACTACTACAACTACTACTACTACTAC